GGCCGAGGCGGGAGAGCGCGCGCGAGCCGGCGGCGCCCATGACCGCGGACACTGAGCCCCGGGAGCGAAGAGCTGGCGCGGACTGGACGGGACTGCGGCCTCCCGGCCAATCGCAGCCGCGCTCGCCGCCCCGCCCTCGCCGGACAGCTGCAGGCCACAATCCGGGCGAAGGGCGGGGGCACGCGATTGTGCAACAGAACCCAGGCGTGTGCGCGGCGAGTTGGGAGGGGTCCCCGTCCAGGGTCCGGGTCGGGGTGCACGGCCCGGTAGGAGGGGGCCTGCGGTCCTGTACCTGGACTGGGAGGTCGCCGGGACAGGCCCGGCAGCCGTGGGTGCAGTTCCTGGTCGCTTCCAAAAGAGGTCACCTTAACCGCGTGTGGTGGCGCACACCTGTGACCCCAGCACTCTGGGAGGCTGAGGCAGGACCGCAATTCTGAGCCTAGCCCGGGCAACTCTGCAACCTGCTTCAAATCCACAATAAAAAAGGCTGGGGAAGCAGCTCCGTGTGAAGGCCCTGGATCCCATCCCAGTACTGTGCTCACACACACACACACACACACACACACACACACACACACACACACCTCATTTAAAACAGAAAAGCCACCACCCTGAGTGGGTTGGGGCCTCAGCCTCCTGTTTGATGCTCGAGCTGCTGAGACTTTTACGCTGGGCTGCGGTGCCGGCAGCGGCAGAACCTGTGCCAGGCGCCGGTTTAATGCCAGCCCACGGGAGGGGGAAGAGATGGCACAGACAACGTGGGCTATGCTCTGAGTGACAGCAGACACCCCGAGTTCAGGCCCAGGGCTTAGCCTGAGGGAGCGCGGCCAGCAGACCTCAGGCGGCACCTGACAGGGCACACGAAGCCGACTGAGGGTGCTTATGGGGCTTGAGCAGGTGTGGGGTGACCGGCTGTCAAGGGCACGGCCCTCCCAACACCACAGGGCTGGGTCCTTGCCCACCCTGGGCTCTGGGGCCTAGTGGGGGTGGGCTGGGGGATGGGACCAAGGAGAGTCCCGGTGGTCCCTCAGGCAGAACTGCCCTGCAAAAGGCCTCCTGGATCAGAGGCGGGAGGGTCCTCAATGCACTGGGCACCCTCCTTTCCCGGCCGCCAGCTCACGCCCCGCCAGCGCGGCCGTCTTTCTAAGCGTCCCTCCCCGGGAGAGGTGAGCAGACAGGATGCCACCTGTCTGGCTTCCTCTGCTGCCCGCCTGTGCCCCACCCTCCAGCTGCTGGGGGAACCTGGCCTCCTTGGAAGCCCAGGTGGGCTGATGTTGGGGCCAAGGAGGTGTCACCCACTCAGGGCCGCTGGACTTGAGGTGTGCGTTCCCACAGCCCAGGGCTCCAAGACTAACGTGTTTCTGTCGGGTCCCTCCCTCCCCCCTCTGGGGAAAGGGAGAACGTGGCTTTCAACCATCGCCTCCAAGGTTCACCAGGGCGCCGTCGGCCAGCTCCCTCAAGGGTGCGGGGCACAGAGGGAGCCCCAGCGCCCATGAAGGAGAACAGGAGGGAGGGGCTGCGCACAGGGAGTCTCCCCGCAAGGTGGCCATCACACCTGGCCGGGCCACCTGGCCACCGTCGTCCCCCAGCCAGGATGTGACAGGGGGCTGCAGGACAGCCCTGGAGGCAGAAACACCCACACCAAACACGAGGTGGAGCTGAGAGCCACGTTTATTAAAAACAAAGCACAAAGCCATGAGCAGGTTAATTCATTCACCTCTTGGTGCAGGGAGGATTTCTGCTTAATCATTTGAAGAGTTCATTTCTCTTGTCTGTAAAGATGCACCTAAGAATACGTCCACGTTTTCTCGCTCCCAGTCCTCTCTCCAAATTCTGCTCCCATTTGAATTCCATTCTTGGCCTTTTCTTACCTGGACTTCTAGGTGACAGACCAACAGACCCGAATGATTTTTCATGGGTTAACAGGCAAAATCAAACAGAAAAGAGTACGAAGCAAAGTCCACCCTCAAGCGCCGCCCGACTCCGTAACACAGGCGGGGAACGCAGAAGCAGGGCTGAGGAGCCGGGCCAGGACCAGGGCGTCTGTGAGCCTGCGAACTTGTAAAGCAGTCGGGCCACAAGGACTCACAACGACGATAACGGGAAATGAAGTGTACTTTTTTAAAAAGTGCAGCTTCTCTGCTAACTCTTTAACCAGTCTGCGCTCGTCAGCATTCAAGTCAGGGACTGGAAAAGTGTAACACGGGCCAAGAACATCCACGATAATTTTGCAGATAATTCTGTTGATTTAAAAAGCCTTTGTTACTGAAATTTATACTTTCGTATTCCAAATCACCTCCAAGACTTTGCTTGCATTAATCTGAAGCACACATAACTCTGAAGAGTCAGTCATCGAGACTCATGTCGGGATGCGGACGGTCGAGGCTGGTAACGGACTTCTCAAGGTAACCTTGCTGCTGCTCAGGTCCTCGACCAGGCCTCCTGGGTGCTGAAAGCCAAGGGATGATAAGAATCGCTGATTATAATTCAAACATGCGCGGAACAGTCCCTCCCACTGCGGGCCACATACGCTGTGCTCGGCCCAGATTACAGGGCCAGAAGGGCGGCTGTGAGCAGCGGGCTCCCCTGAGACTCCTCCAGGGTCTTCACAGGGTGCTGGCGGCGTGGTCCAGGGGTGGCAGTGGGAGACCGTGGGGCGGTGGGGCCCGGTGGGCATGGTCAGCATGTCTGGGAAGTGGGGCTTCTCCTAAGACCCCAGTTAGCCTCCCCTGGAGAAAGCTGTTACAAAGGCGAGTCAGCCGGCCCCCCTGTCAGCCTTCCCCCCATGACCGCCACCTTCTGCCACCATGGCGTCCATGGGCAGCCACGCCAGCACACAGGGAGACCCCTGATCTTGGACCTTCAGCCTCCCAAGCTCGGAGTAAATCTCCTCATTAGGAAGTACTGGTGCTCGTTGTAGCCACAGAAAGTGGACTGGCGCCCAAGCTACGTGGGGCGTGTAAACGGAAACCACCGCTTCAAGAACGCTTGGTCAGACGCTAAAAGGACATCCCTACCCCTGGGTCACTAATCCCGCTTTCACGCAGGAGGCCGAGGTAGGAGCTTAGGGAGACGCCAGCCTGAGCAACACAGCAAGATCCCAGCTCAAAAGAAAAGAGTCTGCCTTCAGTAAACTAACTTACCAAGTAAATCCTTTAATTTTAAAATACTCTGCCTAAGGAGACATCCACTATGGTGTTCCTTAGAGCAGAACTGGAAAATCTAAGCATCAAATGCTGAAAAAACTATGTTTAAAGAGTGTCTCACATGTATAAAATGTAATGTTATATGCCATCAAAAATGACATTTGCATAGACAGGAGCTCTATGAGAGTTATATATACACATATATACACACATATGTCATGTGATACATACGTGCTCATACCTACTTCAAAAGACAGAAATTCCTACTGGAATAAAATTTATAAAGAGTAACAGTGGATATTTCTTTCTTTTACTTTTCTGATATTTTCTCAATTTGCCTGGGGAACCTGTATCGTCGTTAAAATAAAGCAACAACTTTTGTACATTTAAATGTTGAGTAGATGATAAGGCACTCAGGTGCCCAGAGGTCAGTATAACCTGCATTTGCTTTCAGGGCTTCCGTCTGTCTGTCCTAAAACCCGTCCACAGGGCAGCCCCCATGCAGGCCCCACCAGAACTGGCAGGGGACACGCTGGGCATTCTGAGCCCACAGCCCCGCACACTGGAGCACAAGCACGGTCGGGAGCCACGTGCACCTCCCATTAGCTGGGGGCCGTCTGAGCCCCTGATCTGCAATCCGGAAGGCCGGGCACCCAAGTGGGCAGGAAACTGTGACCGACTGTGCGGTCTCTGTCCAGATGTCCCCCAAAGGCTCCTGGAGTCACAGGTGGGGCTTGACAGAGGTGGCTGGGTCCAGGTGTGATGCTGGGGTTAAGGGTGTGTGCTTACCAAACTGACCCACTGATTGTTCCGCATATTTCTGGGTGTGGATAATGGGAAGTCCTTGCTGGGTGTGAGTGCTCCCGCCCTAAGGGCGTGTCACCTGGATAGACTACAAGGGACAGAGAGAGGGCCGCTGCTTGCTGCCTTCTGCCCGCCATGGGCTGTTTCTCCTCTGCGATGCCCCTCTGCCCCACCTCCCTGCCTCGGAGCCAGCTGCTTATGGACTGAAACTTCTACAAACTGTGAGTCAAATAAACCTTTCCCCCCTAACTTCCGGTGTTGGATAATTTGTCTCAGCAACAGGAAAAGTAAACAAGACAGCGAGGCTCAGGCAGCCAGAGAGGAACAGTGTGCGAGGGCTTCGAGACAAGCGGCTTCCTGACCCGGGCGCTGACGTCAGAGGCGAGGCTCAGAACCCTCAGCACGAGCTCTCCCTCCAGACTGCCTGTCTCCTCCCGGCTGCACCTGCGGGCTGGGCGAAGGCCTCCAGGGTCCAGGGTTTTCTTTGGCTCAGTGAGACCAACGAGCGGACATTATTTTCTATATCATGATGCAGGATCTCGTCACCTTCATAGACTGACTTTTTTCAAATTTAAACTACATTTTAAAATACACTTGATAAAAGTATTTGATTTAAAATTCTTCCCAAGTTGAGTCTGAACAATCGAGACATTTCTCCTTCACTTTTCTGAGACAGAAAACAGCGTGGGGCTCTGGAGAACCCCTCCCTTCCGTCCTTGCCCTTACCGACGTCCCCACCTGACCCGGAGCCTGGCCCACTCTCCCTCCGGATGGAGGCCGGGGTGGAGCAGCTGGGTGAGCCAGACCTCCTCGGGGAGTGCCAGAAGAGGACATTCCCCAACTCCTAAGATCTGTGTGACGCTGAAGGGCCTCCACACAAGACAATCGGGCAGTGGTGCCCACACTGAGCTGTCACAGCAGAACTGACCTCTCCATGCAGCCCAGCGGGCCCTAGTCCACCAGCTGGTACACGGGGTCCCCCACTCTCAGGACTCCAATCTTTTCCACCGTAAAATAGACCCCAAAAAGCGGGGACGACTGGTATAAATGCTTCACAGACGGGTCACACAGGCGGTAGCTGGAAAAGACACAAAGTTACCACTGAGCACAAGAGCAAAAGAACAATCTAAGCGCTCCATGGAACTCAGGCGCCCATTCCCAGGTTATTTCATAATAATACCCAGCCCTTTCCTAAAATGTCAGCCAAAGTCACAGATGCTTGGCCCAGCCACAGAGTCCCAGTTTTCTCCATAGAGCCTGAGAGCCGAAACAAGCTTCCCACGACCTCAGCTTGAAGCTGAAAGCAAAAAACCTCCATGTGTGAGAACCGTAGTTGACAGGGTTGACACGGGCACCTGGGACTCTGAAACTCACCAACACGAATGCTCGCAGAGTCTCAAAACCCTCCCACAGCTGCCGGCCCCACTGTGAGTACGTTTGAGCACTGGAGTTGAACCCTCCATGCCCGGGCTGGTGGGGTTAGGCTACTGCCGAAGATACCCTTCCCAAGGTTTATTTGAAAGAAATAAAATTAACATCACTGCAGCTTAAAAACGAAATCGAATTATACATCTGAAGGTTTCAATGAACACCCTTGTCTCTAACCTAAACTCACTGGAAACAAACAACAAAACACAGGAAAGGGGAACGGAATAGAACACAGCTCCAAAAGTTTTAGTTCTGCAGTGCTAGGAGGGAAGCCGGGCGCCAGGCACGCCCTCTCCTTGGGTGTGCAAACATTTCCACACCGAGAGCTGTAGGAGCCAAGGTTCTTCAAGTGATGAAGGAAAAATTCAGTACATAAAGAACTCCTGGGTATCGAAACTGTCACAACCTACTCTGTTCCATCTTCTCTAATATTTCCCCATGCAATTTCAGCTGCTCTCATGTTCTTTGATGTTGGTTTTAATTTTAATTACAACAAACATAATTAAATAAGAATTTGAGGCCTTCATTTGTAAACGCACATATAAATGTTTCTAAGAATTGATATGAGAGGTAGTACAATTTCAAAATGGAGTATTACACATTTAAAAATGTATCAGGCTGGCATAATGCCACACACCTGTAATCCCAGCACTGTGGGAGGCTGAGGCAGGAGGATCACAAGTTCAAACTCAGCCTGGGCTACTTAACAACTTAGCAAGACTGTCTCAAAATTAAAAAAAAAAAATGTAGAAATTGTAGCTCAGTGTGAAGGCCCCAGCTTCTACTCCCATTACAGAACAAAAGAAGGGAAGAAAGCGAAGGAGGGAGGGAGGAAGGAAGGAAAGAAGGAAGGAAGCAAGAAAGAAAAGAGATAAAAAGCACAAGATTCATCTAGTCCAGAAAGAAAGAGGAACTTGACAAGTGCTCAGTTACCAGAAGCGAGGACATGGTAACCCCCAAGCAAATCAGGGGTGCCCCGCCCTGGGGAGCCGGTCCTAGGCACCTCAGCCCCTGACCCAGAGACGACACTGAGATCACAGGGCACCCGCGAGTCTGACCTCTTCAGGGTCTGCAGCGGCTCCTTCCGGTCGATGACGCCCGTGTCGGGGTCCACCGTGGTCAGGATGCACCTGTCACGTAAGCGCCGCGGTCAGACGCAGGCAGGACCAGGCCGCACCAAGCTCCGCAGAGACAGGACGCATGCTTACCTGGGGCAAGACATTACCTTCTTCATCTCCACGTCCCCAATGACCAGGTCATCCCAGGAGTCCTAGGAGGAAGGGCAGGCGGCTCAGAGTCGGGCCTCCTGGCCTGAGTGAGCTCGTCACGTGACTGGTCCTAACCATCAGAGCAGCAGGGGAGGCATGGCCACACAAGAACACTCCCAGGAGACCACAGCAGGCGGCCGCGGGCTCCAGAGCGCCTCTTTCCTTCCTGGGGCACCAAGGACCTGTGCCTGCTGGGCCAGCACTGCAGCCCTGAGCTCTGGCCCCAGCCCCGGGTCCAGCCACACACAAGCACCGAGGAGGGCACCCCAGGCCCTGACAGGGGCCACCCCCAGTTTACCTCAGGGTTGCGGCACACCCTCTCCACTTAGAGGGGGATGTAAACGTGACTCCTACCCTTTCAGCCCAAGCAGCAGACCTAGAGGGGTTGCCACGCTTTCTCCGGGTCACGCCGGCAAGACGCAGGACAGCTGGGGCTGGAAATCTTTCTGACTTTGAAGGACTTTCAAACACTTACTAGCTTTCAACTCCGCAGCACACGCACATAGACACACAAATACCACCACACAAATACAAATATACACAGATATGCTCATACACATACGTGTATATACATATACATGTATGAACATGCACACACAGATGCACTCACATACAGGTACACGAAAGAGCTCAGTGTTATGCAGACATGCGTGACATGGGGGTTGCAGAACCCCTCCTGACACTCAGATCTGGAGGTGCCCCAGCTCTTCAAGCAGCATTTCTCACTCTACCCTCAACTTCCCACATGCTTCAGTCGGGTGTGCCCAACCCGTGCCCCCTCTGGACAGCTCGTGGTGCAGCCCCCAGACGCAAGATTTGAGCTGGTGTGTTTCATGACTGGGTTGCAAGGTGCCTGAGCGCGGACCGCATAGGGGGCCGTGGAAGGGGGCTGGGGGGACCTCGGTGTGACACTAGCCACACCCCTGCACCCACCACAGTCTACTTGAGTGGGTGTCATCAACCCATACGGGCTTGCAGCGTGCAGAGTAAAACACGAGATTACAGACAACAGCATTTCCACCTACCTGCGCCCGTGCCTGTAGCAGAAATGTGGGATTCCTCATTTAATTATTAAACCTGGGCCGGGCGTGGTGGTGCAGGCCTGTAACCCCAGCACTCAGGAGCCTGAGGCACGAGGATCGTTGCAAGTTCGAGACCAGCCTGGGCTACAAAGTGAGGCCAAGGCCAGCCTAAACTGCATAGCGAGACCCTGCCTCAAAAAGACCAAAACAAAAAAAAAAAAATCTTGGGCTTGTGTTATTTAATAAAGTAAGTTAAAATGTAAAATGTGAAGTTCTGTTACTGCTATAATTAACTGTACTTTAGTTTTTATATGCGGCCCAAGACAATCCCTCTCCATGTACTGCAGCCTAAACGAGCCGAACGGATGGATGCCCACTGTCTCACCCTTGTCCACGTTAACACCCGCCACACGGGAACGCTAAGTATTGCCAAGGAGACAAAGGGAAAGGCAGAACACTTCGGTAGAGATTTTTCTGGACATTTCTGGTCTCTGCTGAGTCCCCAGGTACACAAGTCCAACCGTGCACACACACGCACACGTGCACACTTGTACACACCCAGGCATGGGAGTCACATAGACTGCGTCATAGAGGGGGCCTGTGTTGCCAACCATCCTTCAGGAAACTGCTTCGGGGGGGACTGTTCCACCTCCCCAGCCCCCAGCCGGCAGGTGTCTGCGCCCTTGTAGGCTCAAGGACACCTGCGCAACCACTCAATCTCCAGGGCCAGCCGGGACTTATCACGGCCCCGCCCGACGGCAAAGTGCAAAGTCACCGGGCGTGTGGTGAACTTGCCGGGGCTCTGACCTGCAGTGGGGGGGGGCGGAAGGGGAACAAGGTGTCCTGGGCGGAGGGCAGCCTTAAGGCCAGACGCTGTGCCCCCATAGGGCACCTCAGCCATGGACGGGAGCGGGCGGAGCGCAGGACTCACTCTCCTGGAGCCTGCCCCAACCCCTTTCCCAGTGGACACGGACAGAACACTTCGAAGCCACCCACCTGTGGGGCTTCTGCGTGGCGACCAGGACAGGAAGCAGGTCTCCTGCACAACAGGGCAGACGCCCTCCCTGCTGCCCAGGACCGGACCACAGAAGGCTCTGTCTGCACCCGGAGATGCCCACAGCACCCAACACAGCCCTGGCCACTTCCGAAAATACTGACCACGGCGCCCAGCAGGGTTACTCATCCTAACCTGATCACTGTCCGCGTTTTGGTAAAAAGCATTATTTGCAAGGGGAAAAAAAGCCAAGCCTATTAAATGTAATTATTAATTTAGTTCTCAGAGGAAAATAATAAAATTTAAATCAGTGAAAAATTAAATTAAATCACAGGAGAATCTAAAATTTGTACTGTATTCTTTAAGATATACAACTCAGGGAGGCACACTCTCCCGCCAGATTCCAGGGCGACCCCCCAGGACATGACTGGGTGTGCAGGCGTGCGCCTCCTGCTGGTGAGTATCCTCTCTGCAGTCTGAAAAACATCCAGGCCCTAGGGCATGCAGGAAAGAGGGCAGCCGTAACCAGGGAAGAGGGAGCCAGGCTTTTTTTTGACATGGAGAAAATGTCAAGGAGAAAAAGGGAGGCTATGCGTAAGGGGCGCCGCTCCACGGGACTGACCCTGAGTATCGGCTGTGAACGCACACACAGCTTGCAAGTATGCTGCTGAGACGGCATATGGTTTCCATCCCAAGCAGACCCCGGAGAAAGAAGTAAAATGGGGCAGGGTACCCCGAGAACACACATGAGGGCGACTGCTCACTTGAGACCTTCGTGAGAATCCATACAGACCTTGCAGACCTTCGCCTGGAACCAAAACAGGCTGCTGTAGACTATCGTTTCCTTCCTCTACACACACACACACACACACACACGATTGTGTGCACATGGCTACATCCATATTGAGGGAACAGCTATAGAGAACATCTACATCTATATACCCACCCCATATGAAATGTCTATTACATGTACACATGCATACACACATACACACGTGCACACAAAGCCCTTCTCCATGTACACACGCAGTCTAAGAGTGTACATCAGGTGAGAATGCAGGCCAACGTGAGTGTCACATCCCTACCAACCACCAAAGGACACTAAGACACCTAAGAGGGGGGACAGACACATGCGCAGCCTGAGTGGCCGCTGAGAGTTATCCTGACGGGCGCAAACCATGTCACTGATCCAACTCAGATGACAGTGACCGAGCCCTCAGGAGGCCACGGAGGTGACGTTGTCCCCGCCTTCCCTCCCTAACCCCGCCCTGTCCTGGTCCCTCCTCCGTCCCAGCTGCTGGCCCTGTCACGGCGACTCACACATTTTGAGACGGTGCTATACACACACTATTAGACACACAGTAGTTAAAAACTACTTAGGCAAAAATTGAAGGAATGAGTCGGTGAATGAATACACAGCTCCTCTTTGTTTCACAGCCCCCAGCAGCTTTTCTGATTTCTGGCTCTGGTCCTGGATGATGCCAACGGCCCGGAAGGTCACCGGCTACCGGGGCTAAGGACGCACGGGCACACCATTCGGGCGCTCGAGAGGAGGGCGTGAACCTGTATTGTGCTCATCCTGGAAACACTCACAGCGCTGCCGAGCGGGAAGTGTAACAGAAGTCGCAGCGTCACGGCGCGCACCAGCACCTGCGGACACATGGGGTGGCCTGCGGAGACCGGGCTGTACAGCCTCCTGCTGGCAACCGGAGCCGTGCACACAAAAGAAGCAAGATGAACTCAGACACGAAGAAAACACGCAACAGAGAGCGAGACGCTCAGGGCTGCTGCCAGCGTCCCACAACACCGTTTCACACAAACCTGCTTCTGTCAAAGGTGGAAGGTGCACACGCCACAATCACCATAAAAATCACAGTGCAATAAACACGTAAGCCAGCCTCACAGTCGTTCACGACCATCCTCCTGCGTTACGAACGGTGCATAACTGTGCACACTGCACTTCCTGTGTACACGGGGGCTGCTAAGCACACGGGACATGTGACACGGCTTCCACACCACCAGGGGACAGGAACGGCAGGCGCCACTATCACCATGCGGGGCAACCTCACGCACGCACATGTGACTGTTGGCCAAGCATCATTTCTGTGTGCGCAGCTACGAGTACCATCTACAGAAATGATCCCGAAGCCTCCACGCCAAGACCTCAACATTGGGCGTTTTAACACAAACCTTAATTTTCTTCTCTTTTTGAGAAGCACTGTAGTCCCAACAGCGCACACTGAAAATCATCTCAGTGCGGAGTTTTTCAGTGTCTGGGACACTGAAGAGGTGTCCCAGCGCCGTTCTGCAGTTACCGACACCAACCCGGGGCCCGTCAGTGCAGCTCAGTCCCAACGCTAAGGACCAGGGGCGAGTGCAGACCCCAGGCTGGGGGCTCTGGCCTGTGAGACGCCCAAGATGCCAGTGCCAAGACTCCTCACCAACTGCTCCCAATCAGAGCCTCCCTCACCCTGCCCTGAGATGGGCACCTCACCAGAAGGATGCCTGTGACTCAGAGAAGTGCACCACCATCACCGGACTATTCTAAAGACCACAACTCAGGGTCAGCCAAATGAAAGAGCTGCAGAGGGCAAGACCTGGGGCTGCGTGGAACCCCCCGCCCTGTCGAGGTACCCCCTCCCCCCAGCACCTCCAGCGTCTGGTGGCTCAGACCTACTGGGACCCCCACCTGTCAGCATTTCATGGAGGTTCCTTCTCTCAGGCAAGGTTGATGAACACACTGGCCACTAGGGCCCCGACTGGCCCTCAGCCCCCTCTGTGTCCTGCGATGTGTGAGAGTAGGTGAGTGTGTAGCGGGGTGCTCGGAAGCCCCAACCCTGAAATCCCACCAGGAGCTCCAGGAGCTGCCCTCTCACCATGTGCCGGGGTGACCGAAGGACTCATCACGATGACAGGGGACACCTGCCTCACTGCTGTCACTCAGGACATGCCAAAGGGTTAGGAGCTCTGCGCCAGTGACCAGGGG